GACTTTGGTGGTGTGAGATTAGATCCTCCTTGCCCCTCTCCATCAACCATGCAGCTGTCCCCTGGGCACTACAGGAGGTGAGGAAGAAGCTGAGCTAGTTCTATCTCCAGTCAGCTTAGGTTGGCATTATATGTTGAGGGAGTGCAGAGCTAAAACACCTGTGCCAGGGTACGAAAGGCCACCAGGATGGCCAACCTGCTATGTGTTACAACTTGTCATGAAGCTTCCCAGGTGTCGAGGTTTGCCCGATGCCACACTGGGCTATGGGCAAGTAAACCAGAAATGGACTGATGGGCTGCATCGAGGCCCGACTCAGAAGCTAGCAAGACAATGGGAAGGCATCTAGGTGACTTCCAGGGCTGATGTGGCAATACAGATACATGTAGCGTTCCTGAAGGGCCACCATGCATCACCTTCTAACTGGGCATGCTGCTGTCTGGCTGCAGTGGTGTGGCTGTCGTGGAGAAAGGCAGGCGATGGCACGGCACGGTAGCTGTAGAGCATAGAGAAGGTATGACAAGGCAGGTGAGGGCTGGGTGAATGTGGGAAACCAGCTCTCAAGGCACGATCCTCAGGGTCCTGAGGGCCCTCTGGACCCAGCTGGTCTGGATGGGGTGAGCTCAGCTCCACAGTCAAGTAACTGAAGGCAAGAGGATATAATGGAGCAGATAAAGGGCAAAAAGCAATGATGTGTCAAAGGCGTGGGGCAGCCTGGATGGCTCACAACTTAGGAGAGCATTTGGTAAGCACAGAGTGCAACAGACATGCAAAAAAATGATTGCATTAATGTGAATAGATGATCTTGAATCTTACGAACCACTGTAGCTAGAAATAACTGCATGGAGTGCTAGCCCTGGGGAGCTGTCAGGAGATGTCATCCATTGGAATGATAATTCCCTTGGACCAGGCTGAGCAAACTTAGCACACTGGAAGCCATTTAGGAAAGAGGAGGGGATGTATTCAGCATCCTTCGGGTATCCTGGCCCAGTTAACCACTGCTACACAGCATCTTTATCTCAAATGTTACATGCAATGTAAATGTGGCAGTAAGTTTGCACAGTCTCCTTCAAATAAAGGATATAAGATTGAATCCTAAAAATATGTTTCTCTTTAAAGTGAAGCTTTAAAATGAGCTCCCACAGGACTCTGCTCTTCATGTGTCAGAGAGATGGATTAAAATAAGAAAAATGTGGGCCTTAAAAGTTGTACTTGCTCCCAACTGAAACCCATCAGTCTTATTACACATCCAAATAAGGCGTCTCCTAAGCATATGCTATGCTTACAAATGCATTTCTAAAAAAAAAAAAAGTGTATGATTTGAATATATGTCAGAATTTATACAGAAGAATGTTATTTAAAATGAATAAAAATAAATGTATATAATTTGTATCTATGCCACTTGGATTTTTGCATTTGTTTTTTGTTCATTAAAGTTCAGCAGGAGTCTTTCCAATGGTAGCAACCAGAGCTGGATTGAAACCTAAAGGATTGAATCTGATCTCATCCCAGTAATGACATTTGTTCCAAGACAATTATTCCTTCATTATACCCCTGTATGTGAGATGAGAACCACGGCACAAAAATGTTTTTTAACATCAGATATTCATAAGTACAGTTGACATTCTGTGTCAGATAATCCATTTAAAAAATGAGCCCTATGATCTCCTGTGTCTGCTTATTAACCATTCCAGCTTTCAGATACTTTAACGTGTTTGATAGCTAGACAGTCAATGCATATTTCCCCATTATTGTCTGTAATATTCACATAGACATATTTTGTCAGAGATGTATGCAGTCATTAAAAATGAAACCCACAGAGCAAGCTAGAAATTGGAAGAGGATATTGTATCAGATTTTTCTTCATGACCACAGTGGGTCTTTCAAAGGGAATTCATGTTAACAGATACTCTGAAATCCACATCTGTGGCGTCAGTAGTTTTAGACAGTTCTGGTAGTGTCTGCAAAAGAACCTATGGAAAACCTGCATTTCTTTCTCACTTGTCAGTGTTAGGAAATTGATTTTCTTGGCGCAGAAGCAAATACAAATGCTAAAGGCTAGTTTTTTTCTGCTGAATGTTATGTCTAACTCTTTGGCCCTTATTAAGCAAAGAACTTGAAGACAGGTAAGTCAGTATCAATTAAGTGAGCACTTAAAAGTAAGTGTTCATTCAAATGTTTTACTGAGCCAGAGCTATATAAGTAAGGGCCACACTGGTGAAATTCCAGGGAGTTTATTGAGACCTGATTTGCATTAGCAGAACAGTTTGATTGTGTATGACTTAGCTTTGGAGGAATTTTGCTCTAAACTGTAACAGGAGGAGGCATAACTGGATGCTGAACCAGGTCCCCAGAGTAGGGACTTGAGAACAGGATGGCAAGGAGGACCCACGCTCAGCTGATGATGACATCCATCCTCCTTGTGCCACCATCGTGCTTCAGCCAGAGTGCGCTGAGCAGCTGCCTTTCATCTTGCTCCTTGGGAGTTTGTGGTCAACTCATCCATACCATTACACTCACCATAAGTGTTTCTTTCCTAGACTCCCTTTAGCACTTTTTTTCTGAGGTGGTAAGGATCTTGGGCTGCCCTGTAAAGTAGGAAAGCGTTGTTCCACTACGGCTTTGTGGTATGAGGATTTAGCATAATCTCCCCCAATGTACTGCTAATTAAGATAAGGTTAAACAACATTAAGCAGATTATCAGAAGGCAAGTTGTTAACTGCTTCTAAGTAATGCATTTCCCAGCCCTTTCTGTCCCTCGCAGCTTCTTGGTGCTGCTGCAGATTTTAAAATGTTGGGAAGCGCAGGAACCCAGGGAAATTTTCCATCATGTCTGTGTGTATATACATGTATATATCTATAAGCCTTTATCCATCAGACAACCATTTCATGAAGTGATAAACTTACCAAGGAGGGCCCTGCGCATGTCCTTTTAAAAGATAGTATGCTGGGACATGAACCGTGGCTCTGCAGACACAGAGGTGCAGTGCCAGCCCACAGCACACAAGCAGGGAATGATTTGCACTGTACTTGTGGCTGATGGATGCTGATTTAATGGCATGCATCAAATATGTAACACCTCACTGTAACCTTAAACAAGAGCAAATTGGTATCATCCTTTCAGTAAGTGGACTCATTCATTTTGTGAAGATCTGCTCTGTAAACAAGCCACATTTCAGACTGGCTGATCAGATCCTGCTGCCATATGGCAGACCTGATTTTGCAAACTTAACTTCAGCTTGGCAGAAGGTGAGGCCACTGTAAAAGGGGACCCAGTCACCTAAGGTGACAAATGTCTCTCAAGGGCCGTAGGGGAATTGAAGGGACCAAACATCTCTTGGGGTGATCAGACCCCAAATGCAAAGCATGAGGCATGTCCAGTTGGATAGATGAGATTAAGAACTTAGTTGTGCTAAGTAGTGCCTGGCATTTCCTGGCAGTTTGGGGGACTAACAGCTGCTCCATCATGCACTTATAAAATTGAAAGGCAGAAGTAGGGATGGGAAGCTCACCGTGACCATACACATCCAGTGGTTGCAATGGCCGCTACCACCAGTCTAGCGCATTTTACAGGCTTACAACTTTAATCTATTCTGAATAGCAAGTAGAGCTGGTGCAGATACATGGAGAAAACGGAACTAACAGGGCACCATCACAATTTGGAATAATAAACCCACAAAATTACCATGGGCCATGGTCAGCCCTTATATCCATGGCCTATTCCCTGGCCAGGTAAGAATCCCCTTGAGATAGCCCAGACAATAGTGAGGAAGTGAAACCTGACACACTCGCTATCGAAGAGGAAACCAAATCTAATGCTTAAGCACATGGTTACTCGTGTGAGTGAGAGCCAGGCGAGTGTCTCACTGGAACCGAGCTCCCTCATGTTACAGGTGATACCGTGAAAAGCCGAAATCAGGACTTAATAGTCAAAAGACTATTAAGCAGGTATCCTTTATTGCAGCGCTGGGCACACAGGGGATTTCTCCTCCTATTGTGTGCGCCTGATCAGGTTAATTGCATAGTTTATATACAGGTTCTATATACATATTCATTAGATTTCCAAGAAAAGTTTTACCTATTCATTAGATTTCTGGGAAAAGTTTTACATATTCATTATCATATGCAAATGTCCCTCACGCAGGCGTATTCGAGGTCTCTGGTGGTCTTCAGGAGTCCTACGGTGGTCTTCTGTAGTCTTCCTCACTTGTGCACTGTTTGACCCTTCTCGGATGATTCTCCACAGTGTGATCTTCTACATGTTTTGATACATCTTATCCTAAAGAATGCTTGTTAGTGCCTCTATTATCTATGTCTATATTAATGACGCAGTTCTCCAGCACTGCAGTTTTCTTCTTTGGTATCTTATACATTGTGCAGCGTACAAAACTCTGATCTACTACAGGTCAGCAAATAATTGGGTAAAGAAACAGCAAGACCATTGTGTTCAGAAAAATATCTTGTATCACAGGTAATGCTGAGAGTAAGTCCTGGCACAATTCCCCAGTTGAGGGTGTAAATATTGCAGGAAAGTATTTCAATCCTACACACAGGTTTCCAATAATGAATTAAAAAAGAAGGCGAAGAGCATGAGAAGTAAGGCGAGGTTTGGAGCTCCACCAGCTCCCAGCGCAGTCACCCCAGGCCAGGCTCTCCTCTGTGCTCAGGGAGAGCAGCACCTAGGAGGAGAAACGATGGCGATATTTAAGTCAGTTTAGCATTTCCAACTGTCCATGTTCTGAAATGCTCAACGCAGTCATGTTTTCTCCCCGAAAGAGCGGGAGAGCTGCAACGCTTAGATCTTTGCTTTACAAAAAACCCCCGATTGTTTCAAAATCAGCCTGCTCCAATGCAGGGCGGATTACCATAGCAGCTGGCTTCCCAGATTTCCACCCCTGCCAGTTACGAAGAATAGTGACTTGAATTGGAAACTAAAGCGTAATTATTTCTTCTGGCGCCTCTCCACAGACTCGAAAGGCGCGCCCAGCTTGCCCTTAGCAAAGATGGCAGCTGTGCCCGGGAACGCCCCGCTCTGCTCTCAGTAAAGATGACAGCTCACCATCGTCGCCTGTCCTACTTTGAAAAAGATGGCGGCTGGCGGACGTCCCTGTTGCTTCCCTCACTCAAGATGGCGCCCGACGGCTTTCTCTCCCTTTGCCCAGCTGGCAGCCGCCACCATCCCCCGCCCCGCTCTGCCCTCAGCCAACATGGCGCCTGCCCGCCCAACTTCAGCCGCCGCCCGCAGCAAACATGGCGGCTCCCCTTCAGTTTCCATTCTGCCCGCCTTTAACGCTCCTCCGCGGCGGCTTCGGCGGCTTCACCTCCGTCGACGCAAAGATGGCGGAAGCGATTGCGGCCGTTTGAATTCCAGCGAAGCCGCCAAAGCCGCGCACAAAGGAGCCGGACCCGTGGCCGCCGGCGGGACCCGCGGGCCGGCGCCGCTATGGACTCGCTGCCGGGGGAAGACCTGACGCTGCCGGTGGCGTTCGAGGGCAGGTAGGCGGGGGCTGGCCCCACCGCGGGTGCTGGTCTGAGGCGCCGGGCCCGCCGCCCCCCCCCCGTCCCCGCTGCTGCGTGTGGCGGGGCTGGGCCCGCGGGCCCCGGGGGGCTGTCGGGGGGACGGCACCCCCCCGGGCCGTCGGCTCCTCAGCGGTGTTCTCCTCCTTCTTCCTCAGCGTCTGCCAGCTGCCAGACGTCTCCCGCGGGGTCCTCCAGCCCGGCCCGCCCGGCGGCGAAGGTAAGGCCGGATCGGGAGCGGGAGCCCCCCCCACGCCCCCGGGCGGTGCCGGGGGACGGCGG